CCCTGAGGGACCCCACTAGATACAGGCCACCTAGTGGACTCTGCCCCATCGACCACAACTCTCTGACTTCTTCCCTTCAACCAATTAGCGACCCACCTCACCACTCGGTCATCCAGACCACACTTCCTCAGTTTACCTATGAGGATGCTGTGGGAGATGGTGTCAAATGCCTTACTGAAATCCAGATAGACCACATCCACTGCATGGCCACCGTCCATCCACCTGGTTATGCCTTCATAAAAGGCTATCAGATTGTATATAATTATTTATTTAATCCATTTTGTCTGAGGTGTTTTATAGACTTAATAAAGTTTACTTTATGAGATATTTTACACACTAAAAAAAAAAATCAGAAACAATTAGCTTTACAATCTTTAAGTTTGTTGGTTTTTTTTTCTGCGGTTAGACCATTCTTTCTCTAGCTGCAGCAGTACATAAATGGAGATTATCACAGTATCTGGTTTCTGAATCTATGCCCATAATTCATGGATGCCAATAAGAATTTTCCATTCTCCAGGGACACTATCAGAAGGAGACTAGCTAAACACACAGAGCAGAACTAGGAGTCTCAAATCCATAATCAAATATCTAGATTGATTGTGTCACTTGCACTTGTATTGATTTCAATTGGAGCAGCTGACCCAAGGGAATAATAAAAATGTGGAATAAAACTGATTTATGAGAACAAAATAAATCCTTTTGTGAGTGGTAATGAATTGGCACTATTTAACCCTTTCAATCACAAAGGGAGAACACTATTTATTTTTTCAGAATGCTGAGTTAGTCAAAAGAAGTCATATAAAAAATGTCAATACTGTCAAATGCCATTACAGTTCGTTGTAATACTCTGGAAAGAATGAAGCTCTAAACTTGATCTAGGATTTTTATTTGACATAAGACATTCTTTTGGCTTTTTCAGTCACCTTATGTAAGGCATCATGAATGATGCACTTGGAGACTGAAGGAACCACAGAACCACTCAAGTAAGTGTTTGTTGTACTTCCTTATAGAGTGGCTCCCTCTAGCCTATTTAGGGCAAAAACATGTAGAGTAACAAACAGCCCTGTCGAATGCACACAGTCATAACTACAAAAGCATGACTTACCATCTTTCTGCTGTAACACTAGAAAGTACATAGTCAAAACCTAATTCAATCCCATTATATAGTTCAAATAAAAACTTCATCAAAGCTTCTCAAATCCCAGTTTTCATCATAATTTCTCTACCTGAGAAAACAGATGGGTTTTACCGTAGTGTTTAGAGAGAAGTATATTTGTCTGAAACCAACACATACAAGTATCCAAACACAATTTCTTCATCTTCAGAAGCTCTAGTCAGATTACATATATTTTGTTTGGGTCATGTATGTACATTATTAACACTAATAGTTTTGTCTCCAATGTCATAAATTGGTGGTTTTTTTCCTGTAGGGTTTACCATAGACATCTAAGTACTGTCAATGTAGCCTCTCAGCCTTCATCTGGATTAAAAACTCTGCAAGACATTCATTAACTAAAAGACTGTTTTCATAGGAGAACTGATTGGCAAATTCTCTTTTACTCAATACTGCTTACTAGTGCCATCTCCTCAAGATTGCTTTTATTCCCTAGATGATTTCAAGGGAGCAGGATGGTCTCAAAGACTGCTCTGCTATTTGCAGTCACTAAAAATTTCAGCCTGTTAAGAACTGATAATACATTCCTTACAGAAATGGAGTTCAGCCTTACACATCTGCTTTAGAACATGAAAACCAATAAATTATGCAGTGCAGTATAGGAAGAGACCACCATACATATGGCAAAGACATAACTGTGAATAGGGAGATGCAGAAGATGAATTAAAACACTATTTGCAGTCTGATGCTAGACTTCACCAAAGAAATGGTTCAATGTAGAAATTAGAGGGAGACTGCTTTAATTTTGCTTTCCTTTGAGACACTTGTACCAAGGAATGGAAAAAAGTGTATCTGGTGCTGAAGGAAATCATGCCAGTGGGTGGTGTACTGTGAAGCTGTTCAAAATCTACTGAAGCTTGACTAAACATTACCCAATAATCATCCTAAAGTGAATGCAAATCTATGAGTTTTCTAGCCATGCAAATCAAACTTTAAATGGCACATTACTCAGTGCCAAAATACACCTAGGTCCTGCTCTAGTGAGCAGATTGAATATGACTATTTGAAAATTAATCACGCATCCCTGTTTTTTCCCCCTCCAACATCTTTAGGAAAAGTGAGTTGTATTAGTGAGCTCTCTCACTAAAACTAAGGATACAGATGAAATGAGGGAGGAAGGGGAGGGAGCTGGACTAGATGATCTTTCGAAGTCCCTTCCAAATCCTAGCATTCTGTGATTCTGTGAAGGGGATTAAATAGGAAAAAATCTCCTTAAAGGCTAACCTGGAAAAGCAGCTAAGGGCTCCCACAAAAGCAGCCTACTTTGGGTCAGCAGGTGGCAATGATGAATTTACCAATGTTGTTGCTCATGGTGGGGGTGACGCTTTTTGCCACACTGTCCCTCTGCCGCTCTACACTTTCTCTTAGGAACTGCTCAAACTCCCTGTTGGTTGTTTCCATTTCTGATGTTACTTGTGCTGTGTGGGGAGTAGGTTAACATGGCACAAATTTTGCACAGTGATTGGTGACTAAACATCTGTTTATATATATTAATGAATAACAATTATCAAGCATTTAAGTTATTATTGTTGTCTTTTTTGTGTATTAGGTTTTGGGAGGTAAATACCTGGTGGGGAGAAGCAGTTCTTACGGCACCATAACTCCTTCAGTGAAGATCCTCTGTAACAACACTGTTGAGGTTTGCAGGTGTAAGGCCATGAGAAAAATAATTCAAGAATAACTGCACAAGATCTCCAACAGAAAATACTTCTAGGGAGGTTATAGAAAACATTGCCTCAGCAGCTTCAGGGCCCTTAGTAATATTAAGGCATAAAAGTACCTTAAGCATTGTGCAATATCACAGCAGTACAACGAACTGAAACGGGTTAAATATTTCTCTATGTATGATGAAGGTAAACTGGTAAAACACCAGTATCATTAATACCACCACAGTTTCAGATTCACATTCTTTTTGACAACTTTGGTCTTTTAACATCAGGTATCTCTAGTCTCCCTGGGTCAGTTTCTTGAAGAAAGGATTATTTTTCTTATTAGTAATGTCAAATTTAGTATTTAATATGTCTACCATAGTAAGAAAAAACCCAAGAGGGAATTCAGGTTGCAGAATGTATGGAGTTACTGCATAATCATGAATTACTGGAGTAAAGTTGGAATGACTTTTCCTGTCCTTAATAGATAATGATCTGTCACTGGCACAGGAACACATGAGATAATAAACATCTTTGGTAAGTGATTAAATGCAGGAAGAACACAGTCCTGATATTTACCTTTGGTGGAAAAAATATTCAGATTTCTTTGGTATCAGCTTCTTGAATGTATAGCTACATGAGAGGAAAGGCTTAATACTACTCAATAATAGAAAAAGAAATTAGAGAGTTAGTTTTTGAAGAAATAGCTTGTCTTGAAAACATATGCTTTGATTACATATATGGAATGACTATACTGCAATTAAAGAATTTTTCCTGCAAATATTAAAGCACATCTGAACTTGCATTTATTGTCAGGTATTGCATATTCAGTTGCAGCAATTGTGAAAGCAAATTTATACCGATGAAAATTGGCTTAACAAGTCTCTCAGAAATGTTTTAGTCATTTCTGAAACCCATTTAATTCTCAAAAATTTTTGTGTCCTTTTTAAATTGACAAATCTTAATGTAAAACACACATCTTCTTCTGCATCTTTGAAGATAACATCTCACACAATTTTCATTCTCCCTTCTCAAGCTTTCATCAATAGATAGGCTAGGAACTTTAATGGGCTTCATCATTCCTCTGCCCACTTCTGTTGGCATCTGCAGGTGTCATTTCTTCACCCAGCAGACATTGCTTTGGTGCACTAGGTTGATACTTAACATTCCCTATTTGAATTCTGACTGGAGAGTGTACTGGAAGCACTGTGCCCAATCAAGATTATAGGAGGAACCTCCCAGTAGGAGTCAAATTATTAGATAATCTGTGTTTCCTTCTATTCATTTATACATATAGTAAATATGAAACTAAAATATGATATAAAAATAATTCATATGCAAAAGTCAACCTGTTTATAGATGTAGCTTTTCTTTTTCTTTTTCTTTCTACCAGAAAATGCTGTACTCTGCTGTCAGAATTCTCCAGTTTGCCAAGAAAATGAGTAGGCTGTAAGGAAGCTTTTCAGTACAGTATCCCCAAGTAAGCAGGGTTACCACATGAATAACTTTCACATGAATAACAAAAATACCAGATAAACTACATTGCTGAAAAGTAAGAATCTTGTATGGTATGTCAACAACAGAAGTGCCAAAAAGTAAAATAAAAAATAAAAAAAAAACAAGAAAAAGCACAAACAAACAAACAAACTGAAAATAACATACATTGATTCCTACATTCAAGAGTAACAGAGTTCCAAGCATAAACCTGCAACTTCCTTTTGTGAAACTCCGTAAGGACATATAGTTAATTAAGGATTCTCTTTATGTCAAACTTGCATTCAAATGCATCACAACATCCAGGGGACTACAGATTTGGAGTCATCTTGTCCTAATGCAGTCATTTTACACAGGTAGGAAGATAAGAATTTCCTCCAACTCTCTCCTCTGGAAAAGAGGTAATACCTGATTCTTCCTTTACTAGAACTTAATTTCAGATATCCAGATGCAATTAAAAATGACTCTGTACTTAATCTAAATCACCCTGAGGGCAAATAGGGCTGAATGAGGAAACTACTTGAGGAAAATAAACCTGACTATCTCAATTTTTCTCCCCTCAAGTTCTCTGAGAATTGGAAGTGTATCAAGTAATAACAAGAACTTTAAGTTCTCTTAAAAGAGAAAATCTGGTAACATTAGTATTTCATGACTTGGACTAACCAATTGACAATCCCTCTTTA